TGTGTTGTGTAGTTTTGGTATCAAGGTTATGTAATCTCATAGCTAACTTTAGTCCCTCTCTTCCCGTTTTTTATTTCCTGGTAAAGTTTGTGTAAGATTGAGATTGTCAGTTTTATTGACTGTCTTATCAGACTTCCTATAAAGCCCTCATTCCCCAGGATGGTGACCTAGCCGCCTGTCTCCTCCCAGTGCCCGGGTCCGCGCTCCTCTGTGCGCACCTGCCTCCCTGCGGGGAGCGCCCCGCAGGCCGTGTCTGCCTGGGTGCAGGTTTCCCTCTATTTCTTTTGTTTTGGATTTTTTTGCTTCCTAAATTTGAGGGCTTTCATCATTCAGGGGTAAGCCTTGTCATTATTTCTTAGATTTTTGCCTGTCCCTATTTCCTCCTTTCCTTTGGAACACCTGTTACAGATCTTAGGTGTCTTAGACTCTCCAGCCCAAGTCCGTGTCTCTGATATTTCCTCTGTTTTGTTGTTTTAATAGTTACCTTTGTCTCTGTAGCTCTTTTAGGGAATTTCCTCAAATCAAAGATTCACAGAAGTGATGTGTGTTCAGCTGAGACTATGCTGTGGTTCAGCCACCTGCTGAGCTTTCAGTTGAAGGGACTATGTTTTGGTTCCCTTTTATGCCTGCCTATTCTATATTCCTCATGTGTTATGTTCACAGGCCTTCTACACACACACGCACACACACACATTTCCATTAATTCCTTTGTTAATTCTTTTATCTGAATTTTGGGACCTCTCACTGTGGCTGCTTCTGGAGAGTCAGCTGGTGGCAAGCGCTGAGTCTCAGGGGCCCTTCTCACAGCCCTGCGTGTGCGGCCTGGGCTGTTCCCTCATGCAGGGTTACCTTTTGACCTGCTGGGCGCCCCAAGGTCCTAGAACCACCTTACTCGGTTCATCTCAAGCCCTTGTCACATGCCACATTTTTCAGCCCCACTGAGATGCCGATCACCCGAAAGGTGGCCACGAACTCTCAGACTCTGGGTCTTTGCTCATGGCTCATGTCTTTCCTCGGCCTAGAATCCTCTCTGGCGAGCTCGCTGTCATCTTCTAAGAGCAAGCATAATGCTACCTGCTTTGTAGAACCTTCCCTGACACACTTTGCAGTAGGTGCTGCCATCACGGTGTCTGCAGCGCATCTCTACCCCTCACGGCAGCCGAGAGTGCAGAACGGCCCGCGGGCAAGTGTGTGCATCTTAGCAGCAGAGCCTTTGGAGGGAACAGGGCACCAGCATTTGTCATTTTAACTCAGAAACCAGGACAGATCCTACAGTGAGCAAATAACTCTCAGATTTACTTTAAAGTACTCTGTTAATAAGACAGAATTGACAGTGTTAGATTATTTTTCACAAAATGGCATATAGTATACAGATTTTAAGATACTGTGTATAAAATGATTCAAGTAAAATTCTTGTTCTGCTATGTTGAGCTCAGAACAGGTTTCCGATTTCAAAAAGGTCAGCATTCTTATCCAGTGGAATAGCAGGTATCTAAGAAAGCCCCCACACAGCGGCCCGTCCGCCCCTCCTGACGAGGCCTGCCGGCTGTGTCCTTTCTCCTGAAGGTGAGCATCTGTCTGGAATGCAACAGCAGCAAACTGCGGGGCCTGAAACGGAAGTGGATCCGCTGCTCAGCCCAGGCAACTGTCCTCCATCTGAAGAAGTTCATCGCCAAAAAACTTAACCTTTCGTCTTTCAACGAGGTAATAGTTGGCACCATAAGTAGAAACTGTAGCAAGTCATTTCCTGTTTGTAAAAGGGATGCTTCTCAAGTCTTTGGGTTTATTTTTTTGTGTTTGACAGTGTTGGAGATTTTAAATCAGAAAAAATCTCAATTTGTTTTGCTTTCCCTCCAGATAGTGTGAAAGGAAACAGCAGTGAGGATAGTGGAAGGTTCAGAGCCCTGAACACTTCTCATGCTGAGGTTTGTTTAAAACACAGCAGAGATTTTCATCACCAAGAGAAATCCTGTTTTTTCAGTCTCACAAATGGGTGGGTGAAGGTGGATGGGGGATGAATAGATAGGTAGATAAGATGCTGTCAAGTTGGGGTTGATGTTGAGAATAAAGTAAAACCAGGTGTCCTAGCAGTTGAGGGGCTTGGTGAGCACATGAGCTCAGGAGTCACTTAGGTGCCCTCTGGAGCTGATGCCACTTACGCCAAAACATAACTTGTCAGAAAGAGCCAGCTCTGCATAAATAAAGGTACAGAGAAGGCACTGGGGGCCCTAAGCAGAAGACACAGGGTTGGAGGCCTGGCTTTCAGTAGTCCTCAGGCTGAAGGAAGTGGGGTGTTGGAGCACAGCCGACTGGGAGGTACCTGGCGGGAGCCTCGGAAGAGTCGGCCCAGGGCAGTGCCACCAGGGACGGGGAGGCCCGGGCAGGCTTGAGATGTGTCTTAGAGCAGTGGCTGGATGGTAGCCCCCTAAAGATATGTCTATGACCTACCCCTATAACCTATAAATGAAAACTTTTTTGGAAAAAGGATATTTTCAAATGTATTTAAGTTGAGGATCTTGAGGCAATTTTGCCTGAGTGGACGCTAAATCCAGTGACATATGACCTTACAAGAGTGACACCGAAGGACATCTGAGGCGCACACAAAGGGGAGGGTGCTCTGGGGACAGAGTCAGCAGGTGGATGTGGTCCCGGCCAGGGGCCCCGGGAGCCGGAGGGGGGAGGAAGGGGCCTCTGCTAGAGCCTCCAGGGGGAGCACAGCCCCGTCTGTGCCACTTGGTCACAGCTGCCACAGGAAACCCAGAGAGTGGCAAAAAAATGCGGTTAATTGTGTTCTACAGTTGTATGGAAAGCAGAACTTGGAGGTGATTAACTTAGATATTCAGCTGAGGATGTGTCCAAGCCAAGTGTTGAAGATGTGGTCTAGTTTCTTCTCCCTGCCTATAATTAGATATGAGAGGGGAGAGATGAGTTCAGGAAGGAGCTGCTAAGCAAAAAGAGACCAGCACGTGGTGTTGGGGGAAATGCACAGCCTATCTAGACAGCAAAAAGGCAGCAATACCAGGAGTCTCACTGCTTGGACCGCGCCCTCCAGAGAGAAGGCCTTTGCCGAAGGACGACCCGCGTGGCTCCCAGTGGCTCAGCCGTCTCACAGAAGTGAGGAATGGAGAGGATCATCCAGGGAAGCTTTGCAGGGAAGCTTCCTGGCCTGCATCATCCATCTGTGACATGCAAGGGAGACTCACAACATTTTTAAGAATGTTGTATTAGCAGAAACATCACCAGTTTCAGCTAAAGGGGACAGAAACAGGAAGAAATGAGAGGCTATGAGACTTCCAAGATTCCACATGCAGGAAATAGGCTGGCTGATAGAGCTAGTTGGCTGCAAATGTGAGCCATGCTTCAAGAGGAAGAACGGCTCCCAGGCCAGGGCCTTAGGCTGGGGAGGCCTGGCTTTCAGTAGTCCTCAGGCTGAAGGAAGTGGGGTGTTGGAGCACAGCCGACTGGGAGGTACCTGGCGGGAGCCTCGGAAGAGTCGGCCCAGGGCAGTGCCACCAGGGACGGGGAGGCCCGGGCAGGCTTGAGATGTGTCTTAGAGCAGTGGCTGGATGGTAGCCCCCTAAAGATATGTCTATGACCTACCCCTATAACCTATAAATGAAAACTTTTTTGGAAAAAGGATATTTTCAAATGTATTTAAGTTGAGGATCTTGAGGCAATTTTGCCTGAGTGGACGCTAAATCCAGTGACATATGACCTTACAAGAGTGACACCGAAGGACATCTGAGGCGCACACAAAGGGGAGGGTGCTCTGGGGACAGAGTCAGCAGGTGGATGTGGTCCCGGCCAGGGGCCCCGGGAGCCGGAGGGGGGAGGAAGGGGCCTCTGCTAGAGCCTCCAGGGGGAGCACAGCCCCGTCTGTGCCACTTGGTCACAGCTGCCACAGGAAACCCAGAGAGTGGCAAAAAAATGCGGTTAATTGTGTTCTACAGTTGTATGGAAAGCAGAACTTGGAGGTGATTAACTTAGATATTCAGCTGAGGATGTGTCCAAGCCAAGTGTTGAAGATGTGGTCTAGTTTCTTCTCCCTGCCTATAATTAGATATGAGAGGGGAGAGATGAGTTCAGGAAGGAGCTGCTAAGCAAAAAGAGACCAGCACGTGGTGTTGGGGGAAATGCACAGCCTATCTAGACAGCAAAAAGGCAGCAATACCAGGAGTCTCACTGCTTGGACCGCGCCCTCCAGAGAGAAGGCCTTTGCCGAAGGACGACCCGCGTGGCTCCCAGTGGCTCAGCCGTCTCACAGAAGTGAGGAATGGAGAGGATCATCCAGGGAAGCTTTGCAGGGAAGCTTCCTGGCCTGCATCATCCATCTGTGACATGCAAGGGAGACTCACAACATTTTTAAGAATGTTGTATTAGCAGAAACATCACCAGTTTCAGCTAAAGGGGACAGAAACAGGAAGAAATGAGAGGCTATGAGACTTCCAAGATTCCACATGCAGGAAATAGGCTGGCTGATAGAGCTAGTTGGCTGCAAATGTGAGCCATGCTTCAAGAGGAAGAACGGCTCCCAGGCCAGGGCCTTAGGCTGGGGTCAAGGCCTTCACGGCCCAGAGGCGGAGCCCCACCTGCAGCGGTGTTTTCTCGGTCACAAGACCTCATGGGATTCTCCCTGATGGATTTCACACTGGCCTGAGACCAGGGACCCATTACGCCCCCTCGTGCATTCTTTTTGGAATAAGAGTCTCCATCCTGTGCATGTCCCACCCTTGTATTTTGGGAGCAGATAATTTCCTAGTTTCGTAAGTCCATGACTGGAGAAGAATTTGCCCCAGTGTGGTTCTTACCCACCCAGTCTCACCCATACCCGATTCCTATGATTTAGAAGATAAGATATGGGGTTGCTGAGCTGATGATATCTAGATGAGGTTCTAGGGTTTAGAGTTGATGCTGGAATGGACTGAGGCTCTCAGGAAGGTTGGGGGGGAATAGGTGTATGTTGCATGTGGGATAGACATGGATTTGGGCAGGAGGCAGACTGAAGTGGCTTGAAAGGTGACCCCACCCAAAGGTATGTCTATTTCCTGACCCCTAGAACATGTGAATATGACTTCATTTGAAAAAAGGTTTTTGCAGATGTGTTGAGAATCTTGAGATGGGATGATCCTGGGTTGTCCTGGAAGGCCCCAAATCCAATGACAAGGGTCCTTATAAGAGAAGTCAGGCACAAATTGTCTCAATAGATTTTAGAAGGTGGGTAGCATACAGAGTATCTTCTCTGACCACAGTGGCATGAAGTAAAAATAAATAACAAAGGGAGAACTGAAAATTCACAAAATTGTGGAAATTAACACGTTTTTAAACAACCAATGGATCAAAGGAGAAATCAAAGAGAAATTAGAAAACACTTAGAGACAAATGAAAATGAAAGCACAACATACAATAACTAATGGGACATGATTAAAGCAGTGATAAAGGGGAAGTTTATAACTATAATTAAAAGAAGAAAGATCTCAATCAACAATCTAAATTTATGTGAAGTCCTAGAAAAACAAACCAAATCCAAAGCTGGCAGAAGGAAAGAAATACTAAATATTCAAGCAGAGGTAAATAAAAATAGAGACTAGAAAGAGAGAAAAATAAGTTCTCCAAGAAGGTCAACAAAATTGACAAGCCTTTAGCAGGGAGGGGTGGGGGAGGGGTGGGGGAGGGCGGGTGGTGAGGGAGGGAGAAGGGGATTGAGGGGTATAATGATTGGTGCACATGGTGTGTGTGGGGTCACGGGGAAGACAGTGTAGCACAGAGAAGACAAATAGGGACTCTGTGGCATCTCACTACACTGATGGACAGTGACTGCAATGGGGCATGGGGAGGGACCACATTGTTTTTCTTGTGAAACCTTCATAAGAGTGTATATCAATGATACCTTAATTAAAAAAAAGAAAACCTATGAAGACTAAATGACAAGGAAATAAAAATTTGAAAAGATACATAGTAATAAGGAGATTGAGTCAGTAGTAAAAAAAATCTCCCAACAAAGAAATGCCCTAGGCTGATAGCTTCCCTCGCAAATTCTTAAAGAAAAACTAATAACAGCCTTCTCAAACTTTTCCAAAAAATTGAAGAGGAGGGAACACTTCCTAACTCATTCTGTCAGGCCAGCATTACCTAGACACCAAAGCCACATAAAAACAGTGTAAGAAGAGAAAACTACACACCAATGTCCCTTATGAACATTGATGCAGAATCCTCAACAAAATGCTAGCAAACAGAATTCAACAGCACATTAAAAGGATTGTGCACTATGACCAACTGGGATTTATTCCTGGAGTACAGAGATTGATCAATGCAATATGCAATATCCACAGGATGAAGGAAAAACCACAGGCTTGCCTCAACTGATGCAGGAAAAGCATTTGACAAAATTGTCCCACTTTTATAATAAAAAGACTCAGCAAGTTAGGCACAGAAGCCATAAATAGAAGTAAAATAAAATAAAAACCATATATAAAAGCCCAATATGAGCATCATACTTGGTGAAAGACTGAAAGCTTTTTCTTTAAGATAAGGAGCAAGGGAGGGATGCCCACTTTTACCTCTTGTATTCAATGTTAATATTGGAAGCTCCAGCCAAAACGATTAGGCAAGAAAATAAAATTGGAATCCAAATTGAGATGGCAGAATCAAAATGATATCTGGTTATAGATGACATGATCTCCTGTGTAGAAAACCCTCAAAGTCACACACACACACACACACACCTGTCAGAACTGATAAATGAACTCACGAGGTAAGTCACAAAGTTAGCATAGAAACTTGGTTAATTCCTAAGTATTTTTTGTCTTCTTGATGCTATCATAGATGAAGTTGTTGTAATTTCCTTTTCCGACTGCTCATTCCGCACGTAGAAATACAGCTGGCTTCTGTGCAAACTACAAAAACTGCTGAAAGAAATTAAAGAAGACATTTTGAAAAATGGAAACATATTCCATGTTCTTGGACTGGAAGACTTAATATTGTGAAAATGCCCACATTACCCAAAGCCATCTGAAGATTCAGTGCAATCCCTGTTAAAACCCCATGACATTTTTGGCAGAAATTTAAAAAAACCCATCCTAAATTTCATAGAAATTCTCAAGGGACCTAAAAAGCTAAAAATAATCTTGGAAAAGAACAAAGCTGGAGGACCCACACTTCCCGATTTCGGAACTTACTGCAAAGCTGCAGTCATCCACACAGCACGGTGCCGACGTCAGGACAGACAAGCAGGCCAGTGGCATAGAACGGAGAGGCTGGAAACAAACCTGCACACACAGGATCGAGTGACCTTCCATGAAGGTGCCAGGGCCGTTTGATGGGGGGGGGTCTTAACAAAGGGCGCTGGGGCCCACCGGACGTCTGCATGCAAGGGAGTGCTGCTGGGCCGGGCCTCACTTGACGCACGAAGAGCTGACTCCAGACAGGCTGGGGCCCCACAGGAGGGCTGAGACTGAAGCCGTGGGGGGGAGGGGGACCGGAGATGCCACAGTCCGGAACTCGGCAATGGGTTCTTGGGTACGGCACCAAAAGCACATGTGGGGGGGAAAAATAGACATATTGGACCTAGTCAAAATGTAAAACTTTTGTACAGAGTGGGAGAAAGTATTTGTAAGTCATGTATCTAATGTGGAATTATCCAGAACATACAGAGGAGTCCTGAAATTCAACACAAAACCAGTTTTGCTGCAGCAGATACACATGGCCGCTAAGTTCATGAAAAGATGCTGATCGTCACTAACTCAGTAAATGCAAATCAAACAGGGAGAGCCACCTCATACCCATGAGGATGGATGGCTTCAGGCAGTCGGGGAGGCTGGGGCCGTGCACGGCCCACGGGGACGTAAACGGTGCAGCCTCTGTGGGGACAGTGCAGAGGTTCCTCAGAAAACTGAACACAACTGCCATGCAACCCAGCGACCCCATGTCCAGGAACAAACCCCAGCTTGGGAGAGTCATCTGCACCCATGCCCATGGGGGCAGTGTTCCCGACAGTGGAGACGTCGGGGCAGCCTGTCCGTGGAGGGACGGGTGGCTGAGCACAAGGCCTTCCGCCCAGGCAGGGATGTTCCTCGGCCTCCACGAGGAGGCAGTTGTGGCCCGTGCCCCACGCGGCGAACCTGAGGACGTGATGCTCGGCAGACGAGCCCGTCATGGAGGGACCAGTCCGGCGTGGCCCAGTGCTGGCAGGCCTATCATACCCGAGCCACAGAGGCGAGGGAGGGAGGTGGGCTGGGGGAGGGGAGACGCCATCAGCAGGTACAAGATGCAAGAGACGGGAGGAGCTCTGGGGTGACGGGCACGTGACTCTCGTGACCTGCGCGCTGAGGAACGGCTGTCACAGTGAAGTCTGTGTGTATTTTGCCAGTTTTACGAAACAATAAAAAGGAGTGAATATTGATACACACAGAAAAGAGGATCGGAGACAGCAGACGGCCACGGCATGGTTTGGAGGGATGCAGCCGCAAGTCGGGAGGCCCTGCAGCTTCTGGCAGGGCGGGTCCCACCCCAGTGGAGGGACCACCTCGTGGGGCGGGGCCTCCTGTGGGTGGGGCCTTGCGCTCTCAACAGAGCTGTGGTTCTCTCCCAGCAGTGGCGCTGACATGCATCCACGAGAGACTGACTGGGAGACCAACGTGGTGTGCGGTGTTGGGGGGGATGCTGAGGGGCAGGGCAGCATCAGGAGTGACAGCAGGGAGGGTGGCCATGGGGACAGGCCGCTGCCCGCACACCGCGATGAGGTGGTGGGAGGTAAGCGCCAGGCCCCATGGTCGAGGTTGGGGTCCTTGGCGTGTGGTGGGTCTAGTGCCCAGGACCACAAGCAGTTGGGGCGAGTGAGGGCCCGGGGATGCGGGGCGGGGGTCTTTACTCTCAAAGCGCAGTGTTGGTGTCAGTGAGGTGACCAGCCGGCCCGGCCTCTCACCCTGTGCCCCCAAGGGAGCGACCGAAAGACCATCGGGGTCCACATTCGTTGTCATCAGAATGACAGTGAGGCACCGCCACGCCCCCGTCAGGATGGCAAAGACGCAGGCGCCCGACAGCACCGCGCGCTCACGGTGGCGGGAATGCAGGTGATGCAGCCGTGCCGTAAGGCGGTTTGGCGGCTTCTTACACAACTAAACACACTCTTCCCAATCCATCCAGTAATCCTGCTCCTTGGTGTTTACTCAAATGAACTGAAAACGTATGCACACAAAAACCTGCTCAGCTGTTTGCAGCGGCTTTACTCATAACCACCAGAAACTGGAAGCAACCAAGGTGACCTTCAGCAGGTGCTGGACAGACAGACTGTGGGCCATCCAGACAATGGAATACTATTCAGCTCTAAAAAGCGATGGGCGAGGAAACCAGGAAAAGCCATGGAGGAACCTTAAATGCGTATCACTAAGGGAAAGAAGCCTCCAAGCTGTGTGACCTCAACAATATGACGTTCTGGAAACAGCAGGACTGTGGAGACAGTGGAAGGATCAGGGGCTGCCAGGGGCCGGGGGTGGGTAGGGGGACAGGTGGAGCCCAGAGGATCTCCAGGCAGAGAAGCTACTCTGTGTGATGCTGTGATGGTGGATACGTGTCACTGTGCATCTGTCCAAACCGTAGACTGTGCCCCACAGAGCGGCCCTGATGGAAACTGCGGACTTGGGGTGAGGACGTCAGTGGAGGTCCATCAATGGTAACAACGTCCCCTTGGGGGGAGGGGTTGAGGGGGAGGCCGTGGGTGTGGACAGGGGCACATGGGCAGTATCTGCACCTCCCTCTCAGTTGCTGTGAACATAAAACTGCTCCAAAAAATAGTCTTTAGGAAAAGGAAAAAGACTGAATGGGGAGCACATTACCTTTTTCCAGAGATGAGTGGGACAAGCTTGGCCAAGAAGTGGCCTCAGGTGGGGGACAGGGTACTCTGGGTAAGAGCAGCCTGGGGCTGCAGCCCAGCAGGCGGATGGGGGGCACAGTGGGGGCACCAACGCCCCTGTTGGTGGATGTGGACGGAGGCCCCCCAGGTGCTCTCGGCCCTCAGGTGGAATTGGTGGGGGGGCCTTCTGAGTGCTCCCCCGTCTGTGCTGCCGGAAGTGAGGGCCCGTCGCCCTGGAGCTGACTGTGACCTTTGTGCCCCGACTGGCACAGTCGGTGCGGAAGAGCCCACCTGACCGAAGCCTTCTTTCTCCCGCCAGCTGGACATTTTATGCAACGAGGAGATTCTGGGTAAGGACCACACGCTCAAATTTGTGGTTGTCACGAGGTGGAGATTCAAGGTGAGACCATCCATCTGTATTGATATGTTTTATTTGATTTTCAGTGCTAAAAGTATTTTTTTATCTTTATGCACATTTTTAGCTAAGAGCTTAGAAATAACGATTCGGTCACAGGATTGTTGTGGAAGGGCAGTCATTTCGAAGTTTTCAACCCCATAGTCAGCCTGGCCTGAGGAAGGTGCAGCCCTATGAGCGCCCTCCAGCGCCAGGCCTGCACCGCAACTCACCCCGTCCCTCCCGGTCAAGGAGACCGACTTGCTGCAGTGAGTCAGGGAGGTGGTGGCTGCTGCCACCGCAGAGTGACCTCCAGTCTTTGGGAACCTTTCTGAAGCAGGAATCAGATGAGAGAGACACCACGTTCAGGGGCAGCTGCTCAGGAGGACAACAGACAGCGAGGGCCAACTTGGCCATGCCAACCACGGCCGTGGCCAACCAGAGCCACAGCCGACCGGGGCCACTGCTGAAGGTCTGAGGGAGCATAGAAAGGTCTGGAGGGCCCAGAGAGAAGGGGGCAGGGTCAGCAGGCAGCAGGGTGCACGGGCGGTCCACGGGCTACCTGGGCCCTGGGGAGGGGGACTCAGCCCTCTCGGCCTCTGTCCCACCCGAATGCCTGTCACAGCTGATGCAACTGTTGGAGGCGGCTTCCCGGTGCCGGTCAGCACCCTGGTCTCCTTGGGGCAGCTGTGTGCTGCCTCTTCCCGTCCGCACCCGCTGAGAGAGGCTGTCGGTTTGTCTTGCAGAAGGCGCCGCTCCTGCTGCACTACAGACCCAAGATGGACTTGCTGTGAGCGGGCTGGCCACAGCAGGGACTCGGCCCTGGCGCCCGGGGTGCCCATCAAGCGCGTGGCCGGGCAGGACCACGACCGCGCTTTAGAACGTTGCCTCTGGGTGCTGTGTGGACCAGATTTCTGAATAGAGAGTATTTATAACTTTTGTATGAGAGAGTTCACACTCAAGAAGACACTACCAGCGCCACGGTCACAAGATGACGGACACTTCACAGTCTCCCTCCCGGCGAGCACCGTCTCTGCCACAGTCACAGGCTTGAGGACCATACTGGTGACATGCTTTACTCCGTCAGACATGGCCTTTGCTTGCTTCCCAGGTCTTGAAAATCTTGGTCATTTCAGTTTAGTTTATGAGTTAGTTCATAAGCCTCAAAAATACTTGTACGCTTATTGAATCCTTCCTAAGTTATTGAAAAAATATCTTTTCATGGTGAATGATATTTATGTTGCCCATAGCTTCCTGAAGACTTAGAAGATTTATAAAAATTTAATTTAAAAGCATACCAAAAGATGTTTCCATTAATATTATGAGTTAATCACAGTATTTAATTTTCTATGTTACGAAACATACCAAGCTAACAGCTCCAGACTCCCCTTGGGCTACATGGCAGGCTTGGCCTCCCACAGCTGCTCCATGTGGACACACTTGGGGCCACGTGGCCCTGAGGGGAGGGGGCTGCATCCCCGCTGCTTCCTGGAAAATGGACATGGTGAAGCCTGACATCGCCATCCCGCACTCTCAGCAGGGCAGACCTGACGCAGTTCGGCCAGCTTCACGCTGGTTCACAGTACAATTCTTGTTTGTAAAAGTTGCTTTATTAAATTTTAGGGCACAAATTGTTTGGTGCCACATTTAATTTCCCGCTATTCTTTCCCACTTTCATTTTGCTAAAAAGAGATGGTGGCATTTGTGTGGGGGCTTTTCCTGAGAGGCACCACCCATCAGACGAGGGGCCTGCTGCCCTGTGGGTGCCCAAGCCCCTTGTCTGCCCATGCGGCTTCCCGCCACACCCACCTTACCAGGTGGAGACATCGGCTCCCCCCTCCTCTCCGCTCGCTTTGTGGCTGTCAGGGTTTTCCAAACCGGGTACCCCAGGGGATGGGGTGGGTGGGGCAGAACCTGAGGGGGCCGCCCTGTGTGGCGAGACCTTGCTTCTGTCACTTAATGACGTGCCGCAGGCAGCGCACACTCTGTGGACCCCCTTCTCGTCCCAAATGTTAATATTTTTTTTGTGAAATTAGGGAATGAACTCTGCCAGCAATAAATATTTGTTCCTTTAAAATAGTAACTTGGAATGCGTAAGGGCCACAACGGGAAGGAACCATTTTCCAGAGAGGTTTGCGCTGCCGCTCCGTTTGCACATCCGTGGGCTCCTTGGTGAGCTGTGGGCCCCCTTCCCTCTCCAGGGTCCCTGACGGTGGCCCCAAACAGCCCACCCCGGTGATGAGACCGCCCCTTGAATTAGCTCTGGGAGTTCGGGTTGGGCTCAGCCGCACTCCGTTTCGGGCTGCGCGTTCTGCCTTCTGTTTCGTGCACATAAACGTCAGAAGCACCTACTAATGAGACCCGGTCTTAATGACAAGAAAAACACTCTAACTCAACCCAAGTGATTTTAATGTAAGGCCTTTTAAAAAACATAAACAAAAACAAATTCTTTGTTAGGAGTTTTTCATAATTCGCCCATTTCAGCCCATTAACTCACAGTACTGTTTGAATGACTCACCTGAGCGTGCTATTCACCCAGATCATTATTCAGAGTTCCTGTACAAGGGTTCAGCGAGTAGTCGTGTATGAGTGAATACTGCCTGTCTACCTCAAGTGCACATCGCTGCTGAAGCGTCCGCGTCACCACAGCGCAGGTCTAAGTGCGGCATCGGAATTCAGGTATTTTCCTGTGTGAAAGCAAGGCAGGATGGAACAGTATGAGCGCCCTAACTCAAATAAAATTGATCACAGCTCACATTAAACTGAACATCGCTGTAATAAACTCGTAATATATATTTGTAACTTTATAGCTATCTTTGAAACCACTTGAATTTGCTACGGTGCTAAGTCGACATACGTAACCATGCAGAGGGGTGGAGGTGAGTCGAGCTGGCGCGAACATCCCCAGCTGCTCACGGACGCCTCGTGTGTGACCCGCTTCTGTAATCGTGTTAACCTCAGCAGCAGAAGTACCTATTTTTCTAAGATTTCCTCACGCAGATTGTCTTCACCACGGGACCCCAGGAGCCCCCGCTGCAGCCATTCAGCCTCACCAGGCGGGGGCTTCGGCAGCCACTATTCTTTTCTGTCACTTCTTCATTTAACATCAAAGGCTGAATTTTATTTTTCCAGCATGAAAGCCAGGATCAGCCAGTGATTGGATCCTATTAAGATGCTGTTCCTTTTAACAGATGGAGTTACTGTGAAGTAGTTTTCACAACTATTTTTGCTGGTAAAGCAGAGCTGTTCAGTCACCTTACTTACTGCATCTGCCCCAGCACTGGGCTTGCTACCCAGCACACGGTCTCACTAAGTACAGTCTTCGTGGAAATGGAAAATGCAGAGAGAATATATAATATTGAATTTAAGATTTGGGGGGTTAAAAAAAGAAAACTTTATAAAATTATTTATTCTATTTTAAGCCTTCTAGCATATTTTCCCATCCAATTGTTTGGTTTCGGTGGTCCAGCTTTATTTACAGGCATATAAAATGAAATTGTGAGATATTTTGCAAGCTTCTTTTTAGTTCGAGTAGCTTTTAATTTGTATGTTTTTGTTTTATATGGATGAAGAGCATTTTTTTATCCTTTTGTGCAATAGGTTCCAACATGCATTTATTAGACATGTTTAAATTGTGATGTAGCATCTATTCTGCTAAAGTGAGAGGGAATATAGGTGGAATTTCAAAATACGTACATTCAGCTAATTGGTTTTTCCTTTTTCGTGGTTATGATTAAAGAATGCTGTTGTTGGGAGCGCCTGTGCGTGTGCCTGTTAGCAATATTCACAAATAAGGGACCGGGCAGGTGGCCATGGGGTGTCCTGTGGCGCCATCCTAGACCAGCCTCATGGCTGCCCGGAGCCTCAGGCACTCAGGCCCCGCGTGCTCGGCCCTGGATGTACCACCCCTCTGCCAGCCACAGATGTGCAGGGGCAGCTTCTCGGGGCCTCCGGAGCCCTCCAGGGCCTGCAGCCTTGAATGCCTCTTCGTGGCATTAGACTTTAGAAGTTGGTTTGATGTTTTTTCTCAGAGCGCACAGGATACCATTTTACAGTAATTTGAAATGTGTCATTCGATTGAATGTTCTAGGAATGAGCCAGCTGATTTATACATTGTACATGAATATGTGACATGCTCTCAAAACATTAAAATTAAATTTAGTGCAGATAACTAAATCACAAAAAATTCAGTTTCTCTATTTCCTCAGGAAATCATTCACACTTCACCATATCACATGTGACCTCAGTGTGGTAAACCAATGTTTCTCTGCTTTGGTATTTAATCCAACTAATAATTAAGTTGGGATAAATAGATTGGAAAACCGTCATTCAAACTACACTGAGAGCCTTGCAGAGATTTTCCCCTCCAGGCAGGGCGGAAGCTTCTGCTGGGGAACTGCCTGCCCTGCATAGGTGTGTGCAGTTCACCATGTCCAGGAGCATGTCTGAGGGTGGACTGCAGTTTGCGTGTCCCCGGAAATGTGTGTAGCATTAGTGTACGTGTCTGCTCCAACAACTTGATCAGGTGTAAGGAAACTATTTGTTCCCAAATGGTGTAGGTGCAGGGCAAAAGCTCCCCGCTAAGCCTCGTCATCACATGTGGCGACACGGACTCTGGCGGTTTGTGGAGATGACATTGCAGATACATATTTTTGACTGTTTAATTTGAAAGTTTACATTTTTTATGCTTTGTGTTGGTGTGTAATTTTTGTACTATTGGTGGTTAGTTTTTGTCTAAAAATCTTTTTTGGAATATTGCTTAATGTTTTGATTTTATGGTAGTGAAGCTTGTATTCAGTGTTTTGCCAATTAATATTATATGCTTGTAATAAAAGCAAAAGAAAAACTTAACAGAATTCTTTCAGGCTGGAAATTTATTATGCGAAATACTTGTAAGGTGCAGGATGATGTTGGGGTAACGCAGCAATGGGGTTGCTGTAGGCCGTGCGTACATGCAGCACACTGCTGCTGCTCCTGCCCTCCCCAGCCCTGAGCCCTCGCAAGGTGACTAACCGATCACTTCGCTCCACCCGGCATTTGTCCTTGGCTGTCACCTTGGAGACAGAACCTCATTTCGATTGGTCCAGTGTCTGGTACCAGAGGCTCCGTGGGAACTGCTCGTCTGTTTGCTTGGAGAGAGTTCGTCTTGGTGTAGAGCTGTGTGTGCTGGTGAGAGCGCAGTTGGAAGGGCCTGCTGCCTCCTGTGAGTGGGCTGGCAGACGGTCTTTTACTTTCTCTGTTAGTGTGTTAGGGTCTCCGGAGGAACAGACCTGGCAGAAGGTCATACACACACACATGCATGTAGTGGCACACATACACATGCATACACACACCATACATGTACACACACCTATGCACATATATGCACATGCATATACCATACACACAGCTTTACATCTATACATGTATATACATGTACACACATGCCTATACATGTACATCAAAGGAGATTTGGCATGAGAAGTTTGATCACAGGGTTATCTGTCAACTGGAGACCCCCTAGGCCAGTGGTACCAGGCAGCCCAGGGCAGGAGGAGCTCCCAATTACTCCCCTTTTTGGTTTTACTCAGGCCCTTGAGGGGTTGAGTGGTGCCCATCCATGTTGGGGAGGGCTCAGTCCACTGATTCAAATGCTAGTCTAATTGGGAATGTCCCCACAGACACACCCAGAACAATTAATTTAATCTGGGTACCTGGGCCCAGTGGCATTGATGCATGAAATGAACCATTGCAGATAATTTGGGGGGAGAAAGGCACTGTGCACACATCCCTCCATCAGAGACCAAAGGCACGCTCTGGCCCATCTGTTGAATTTTGTTCCCTCTGCTCTGGTATACGTGGAAGCAAGATGCTGGCCCTGGTCCTGGGAGAGGGCCAAGTCTCAGCCACGCTGAGGCAGCGGGCTCTGCTCTACAACAGTATTCTTGTCACAGCTTTATTGTCCCTGGATTTTATTTGGATGTAAAAAAATAAGTTGTTTGACCATTACATGTATTCCTATGTTTTAAAAAATGTATTGGGGGACTATAAAAATTAATTTGCTTCTTTAAGAACATTTTTGGTCAAAGGTAAAAAGGTCTGGTCTTTGTAGCAAATAGACCAAGTCAGAAACATTTGGATGAAGAATTTGCTCTGTTTGGTGGGAAGGAGCTCCTCTCCCTCAGATCTTGGAAAGCACCAAACAGGCATAAATTCTGAGAGTTCTTGGAGGCACCTGATGGCACTGTCTACTGTCCTCTTGTCTCTAGGAACCCAGAGCTCTGGGGAGACGGAGAGGAGACAGGCCCCTGGCACGCACGCTTCTCTCCCTAGGCCTGCATGGTGCCTCTCATTTTCAGGGTGGGCTTTTCACACCCATAATAGGGCACATTTGTGTGTCCAGATGCCTCTTTAGAGTTTGCAGGAGAGCTCCCACATAGTCTTCGTACAATTCTTACATACTTCATGTGTCTTTCCTCAGGGAGGTGGGTGGAGTGGCCCATGTGCTAATTGTTTTTCTGGAATAGAGAAAACACTGGTGTTTGCGCCAAAAGAGTTTGGCCTGAAGAGTTTCTGGGTGGTTTTCTTGGATGTCCACACAAGGTTGTGTTACAACACTCAGTCTTCCCCCATTTACCCACTTTTATCCTCTGCGGTTCGTGATCTCTGCTGGCATCGCTAGAAGAACGTTGATTTATGGTGACAACAAGCACTGTGCATTGTGACCTCATGAGAATATTCTTAATGTCTCCTGAAGCATGATTGCAGTGGGATTTTGATAAATACTTTTTACTAAGTCAAGGAATTTCCTTCTGTTATAGCTTACTAAATATTTTAATCAGGAAATGTATATAAAACTTTTTAATTAAAAAACAACCTTTTTTGGCTTTTGAAGTTTTAGCATATGTGCAGGTTCATGTAGCCACCACCACTACATCAGGACACAGAATGGTCCAATCATCCCCAAAACTCCTTAATACCAACCTTTTATTGCAATACCCTCCTCCCCACTCATAATCCCTGGCAACAGTGATCTCCAGCAGTATAATTTTGTCTTTTCAGGAATATCACGCAAAGAGAGTTGTATATATATCACCTGCTGAGACTATTCCTTCAGTCTTTGAGGTCCATCCAAGTTGCTGCATGTATCTATATACTTTTTTATTGCTGCATAGTATTCCACTACCTGGATATACCAGTTTGCTTACCAATTCACCTAAGAAAAAGCTTAGTCATTTTTTAGTTTTTGATGATTGTGAATAGAGCAGCTATGAACATTCATGTACAGGTTTTCCCATGGACATGAGATTTTGTTTCTCTAGTAGTAGGATTGCTGGGTCATATGGTGTCTTGTTTATAAGAAACTGCCAACTGCCTTCCAGAGTAGCTTCCCTACTTGCATTTCCAGGAGCAAATTTCAGGACTCCACACCCATGGGCTGTCAGTGTTCTGTCTGATTTTAGCCAGTTTTGTAGGTGTGTAGTGGTATCTCATGGTTCATATTTGCATTTCCCTAATGGCTACTGATGTTGAGCACCTCATGTACTTATTTGTCATCATATCTTTGGTGCAATATCTATTCATTTCTTTTGCCCATGTTTTAATTTAGTTGAGTTTTGAGAGTTCTTTATATATTCTGGATACAAGTTCTGAGTTTGATATGTGATTTATGAATATTTCTCCCAGTCTCCAACTTGTCTTTATTCTCAACACTGTGTTTTGCAGGAAAGATGTTTTTAATTTTGATGAAGTCCAAATGTCAATTTTTTCTTTTATGGATTATGCTTTTGGTGTTTAAGAATTCTGCCAAATGCCTAATCACTAAGATAATTTTCTGTTTTCTTGCAAACATTTCATAGTTTTATGTTTTATATTTATATGTGATCCACTTTGAGTTAGTTGTAAGGTCTGAGGTTTAGGCTAAGGTTAAATTTTTTGCATATGGATAACCAATTGTTCCATCACCATTTGCTGAAAAGCCTGTCCTTTCTCCACCGGGTTGCTTTTGCACTGCTGTCAAAGATCAAGTGGCCATATTCATGTGGGTCTGATCATTGGCCTGTTTGTCCCTTACCAATACTGCAGTCCTGACTGTTACTGCTTTATGGAAAGTGTTAAAATTGAGCAGTGTGATTCATCCAAGTTTGTAAAAATTATTGTAGTTCCCCCCTAGCACTTTCACCATTCCATATAAATTTTAGGGCTACCTTATCTATAGGCACAAAATCTCCTGCTGGGATTTTTGGGATTGTGTTAATTCTATAGGTCACTTTGGGAGAGATTAACATTTTCATTATCTCAAGTGTTCCAATTTACGAGTATGCTATGTCTCTCCATTTACATAGGTTTTCTTTAATTTCTTTTATTAGCACTTTGTAGTTTTTAGCAGAGAACCTGTACATGTGTGGTTACACTTACAGCCAAGTCTGTCTTCCGTCTGCCTTTTCTTTGTCTCTGTCTGTATCTATGCATCTGTCTATCTCAATCTCTGTCTCTGTCTCTCAGTGTCTCTCAAGGAAGCTGTTGTTTTCAGTTTCAGTTTCCAATTTTGTATTGCTCTTTATTGCTTGTATATAATAATAAGATTGATTTTTTGTGTTACCCTATGATCATGTTGCTGTCGCTTTAGATTACTGTGTGACCTTCTACACAGATAATCATGTAGTCAGTGAATAGGGGAAGTTTTACGTCTCCCTCTCCAGTCTGTGTCGCTTCTACTTCCTCTCTCGCCCCATTGCACCGGCTAGGACTTCCAGCATTGAGTAGGTGTGGGAAGAGAGGACATCCTTATCTTTTTTGCCATGTTAGGGGGAAAGCATTCAGTGTTTCACCATTAAGTATTAGTCAATTACACAGTTCTGTACATTATAATTCATAGAACTGTACAGTTTAAAAAAATGTTTTTATTAAGGTATTATTTATATACAGTCTTATGAAGGTTTGACATGAAAAAAACAATGTGGTTACTGCATTTACCCATATTATCAAGTCCCCCCCCACCCCAGTGCAGTCACTGTCCATCAGTGCAGCAACATGCCACAGATCCACTATGTGTCTTCTCTGTGCTACACTGTTTTCCCTGTGACCCCCCCACACCATGTGTACTAAACATAATACCCCTCAATCCCCTTCTCCCTCCCTCCCCACCCGCCCTCCCACACCCCTCCCCTTTGGTAACCACTAGTCCCTTTGTGGAGTCTGTGAGTCTGCTGCTATTTTGTAGAACTGTACACTTTAAAAAAAAGTTCTGGTATATAATAATTCAAAAAATAAATTATATGAACTACCAGCACAGAACATTTGGAATTTGGAACTAAAAATACAATACTATTTACATTAATACCAAAAGGAAAATAAATACATAAGTATAAATCTAACAAAATATGTAAAAGATCTATTGAGGAAACTATAAAACTCTGATGAAAGAAACCAAAGATCAAAATAACAGAAGACATTCCATGTTCATGGAAAGAAAGACTCAATATTGTTAATATGGCAGTTCTTCCCAACTGGACCTATAGATTCAACGAAATCCCAATTAAAATCCCAGCATGCTATGTCTCCCAACATGCTATATTATCTTGTGGATATCAACAACTAATTCTGAGGTTTATATGAGTAGGCAAGAGACCCAAATAGACAATCAATACCAAAGGAAAAACAGAGGACTGGCACTATCCAATTTCAAGACTTATGTTGAAGCTGCCATAATCAAAATAGTGTGGTATTGATGAAAGACTAGACAAACAGACCCATGTACCAGGATAGAGACCCAGAGATAGACCCACGTGAATAGAATGGTCTGATCTTTGACAAAGGAACAAAAGCAATCCAATGAATTTCTACAAATGGTGCTGGAACAACAGGACATC